GTTGCCTATCTGTACTTCTACTCCACATTTTAACATCAAGGCACCTACTTTGGTGCAAAAGGGGATCACAACAGATGATGCAGGTGAAAACAGCCACCATCTGCTTAATTGCTGTGGCTCAGTTCTTAGGTTCGAAGAGGCTGTGAGGTCTGTGGCCAGGCCTCAGCCCCACAGCCCTGCCTACAAGAATACACAGAAACCTCATCACCAGTACACAGTCCTTGAAGCATAAAATGCCCTCTTTTTTTCTTTTTGGTTTTGTTTTTGAGGGGGCTTCTTTTGGTTTCACTTTTCCAGTGCACCTGGCTTACACTAATGTGATGTTTGCACTGAAAATGTACATGCACGTGTACATATACATATATGCCATTGCACTGTTTCTTCATGTAATTTGTATGAATAATTCAACGTGAGAGATACGCCTTTAGCGCCTTAGAAAATCATCACACACAACCCACGGTGAAGAGCCAAAACCAAGTTGGAGGGTCAGCTGTCCAGCTTCTCGTTATCTGTCCAGAAGCCGCCATAAATTCACTGCAAAAAGCAAGATCCCCAGGTCCTGGGAGCAGAAGGGTCGCTGGAAGGGGATCAGGAGGATGTGGCTTTATTTAATCGAGAGTTAAATATCTTTGGGATTGTTTTTCTCTCCGAAGGAAGGTCACTCTGCTGTACAAGCATGTCAACGCCTCCTTGGTGGTTCTGTCCCCTGATTAGACCCAGATTCCTTCTCTCTCTCTGCATTGCGGGTTCCCTCTGCTGTATTACAGGGACACAAACTGCCAAGCCAATATTTGGATTTCCAGAATCATTGCCCACACCCCCGATCCCATCTCATCCCCTTCCTCCCCCCCTCAGTCAGGTACTCAGAGGCCCAACTCATTAGCCACGGAGTCACAGAGACTCGCACAGTATTAAGATGGCAATATCATCTTATTGGCTATTAACACAAATGTGCCAATAAACATAGTGCATAAAAATTATACATATTCCCTCGGAGTCCATAATACCGAACTGATACGGCATAATGCAAAACACACTTCCCCAAAAGTAGTGCTTAAAGTCACGATGTACAAATTGAATTTTAAATAAATTTCCTGAAACATCACCAGTGGTTCTAGCCACATTAGCTACATGCATTTGCTAAAAATAAAACGCAGGATGGCTGTGCCCACCCCAAGCCCAAAGGGACGGGACCAGTGGGGGCATTAATCTGCCTGGCCCTCGAGCCATTTCAGAGATGGGCTCACTACACATGCCTTCAGGTGCAGTTGTTAAAACAACCCAACATATTCCCCCTAAGGGTTTCTCCTAATTATCAGTGATCATCAGGTTCCAAAAGTCAGCTTGTCCGCACCTCATTCTCTATCAAAGAGAGAGATGTTAATTGCATTAGCGCCTTGCCAACACCCTCTGAAATTGACGGTGGTGAGCTTTAGCAGCCTGCCACGGAGCCAATCAGAGTCGACCCAAATTCACAAGCAGCCAATGAAGTCCTCCCTAATCCCACGTGTGTGTATACACTAAAACACAAGGCAGCCATGTAGAAAAGGGGGGTGTCAGGGGTGCCTAAGCCCAGACTGCCCTCAAAACCCCCATACACTGTCCAGCTGGTTAAAACACACACACACACACAAAGCAATAAGAAACTAGAAATTCCCCCAAGCCTTGTTATATTTTTTCCCCAACCCTCTGCCTCCTGACCAAGCTGATCATCCAAAGAAGAAAATCCAAGTGAAGCCAAAGTCGTCTTGTTTTATTTAATGAAGAACTTTCTCCGTGCATGTTGTTGGCATGTCTCCTTTCACAGATAAATAAGTATTTACGATTAACCTATGTGTTATTTTCAGCAGAGACTGGACCAAAAATAATTTGCCCTTGCTCACTCAACATACTTTCTCAAATGTACAAAGTGAGACTGTGGTTTTCCTAAGAGTGTTCTTCCACATGACTCACCTAAGCAGGTGCCTTTTGGACAAATGTGAGACCCAACTATTAAAGTCCTTCCAACTCTTCAAGACCTCACTCAAACCCCAAGCCCCATGACTCCCTCCTCAGCCCCATCGGAAGAGAGAAGATCAATCATTAAAGAGTTGACATCTTTATGCTCTTTCAAAGACTTAATCCTCAAGAGAAAAATGGGCAAATAATCAAACAACGCACAGGAGAAGAAATACACACACACACAAGAGACATATGAAAATTTATTCAACTCCGATCATGAAAGAAATTTCAATTTTTAAATATTTTCATCCGTCAAACAGGCAGCTTTGTAAAGATCATCTCCTGTCTGGAAATCGAGGTTGTCACTCTCCTACACAGCTCAGAGTGCCAACCTTCCCTGGGGGGACAAATTTTTCAAAATAAAGGGGCCTCATTCCCTCTTCTAGGAATTCACCTTAAAGAGATAATGGTGGGGGGGGGCACCCAATGGTCAATGTGAAAGAATATTTGTCAGAATGTCACTGGTAACATCAAAAACTTAAAAATGGCTGAACAATATGGTACAGCTCTCAAAAGACAAAAATATACAGTTGACCCTGGGACAGCACAGGTTTGAACTGTGCAGGTCCACTCGTAGCAGGTGTTCTTCTGCCTCTACCACCCCAGAGACAGCAAGACCAATCCCTCCTCTTCCTCCTCCTCCTCAGCCTGCTCAACATGAAGACCACAAGGATGGAGACCTTTATGAAGGTCCTCCACTTCCGCTTAATGAATATAAAATATAATCTCCTTTTCCTTATGATTTTCTTAACATTTTCTTTACTCTAGATCACTTTATTGTAAGAATAGAGCATGTAATACATGTAACGTTCAAAATATATGTTAATCAACTGTCTGTTATTGATAAGGCTTCTCTGGTCAGCAGTAGGCTATTAGTAGTTCAGTTTGGGGGTATCAAAGTTATATGCAGATTTCTGACTGTGTGGGGTGGTCAGTGCCTCGAAGCCCCACTTTGTTCAAGGGACAACCATACAACAAATTAGTTTAATCGTCTCAGTTGGTTTTATTTGTGATTCTAGAAGCAGGCAACATTTTATTGCAAAAATAGAGTAAGTGTTCCAATGAGCTGAGCGGAAGAGGTTGGTTTTACAGACAGACAAGGGCTGAAGAAAGTGGAAACAAGAAGAAAGAGTGTATTAGTTACTTTTAGACAGAACAATAGAAAAATAACTGATTAGTTAACATCAGGTTACTTCAGGCTCCCTTTTTTGGGCAAAGATTAAAGCAGAGGGGACTTCATTATCGGGCCAGTTAGACATAAACTGGCCTGTTTGGGAAATTGACTGTTACCTCTCTCTCCTGATTTTTTCAGAAGGTCAGATAACAGCTTAGTTTTGGTTTGATGACATGGAACTTCAGCACGAGTAACTCCATTACAATTTTTAGTCTGGTGTGTTAGAGTGTTGTGCAGGAGCTTAGTCTAAAACCATGGACTTCTATCATTTTTATTTAACACATCCATACAATATAATTCTCTGAATTCTGAAAATTGAACCAAAAAAAATCATAAATGTTTACAATATGTTTAGGGAGGGGGAAAAGGGCAGGATGTAAAAACTATATGTATGGTTGAATCACAATTTTGAAAAAATAATAAGACATCTAAATGCCCAAGGGCCTGTAAAGGAATGCATAAAAAATTTAACAAGGTTTATCTCTAGATAGTGGGATCATATGCAGTTTTCATTCTCTTCTTGAAAGTTCCATGTATTTTCAAATGTTCAAAAATAAATTCCTGTTACTCCTATATGCAGAAAGCAACGTTTGCTTTTGTTCTTTGCATGCTCCGGACCCCACAGCGCTTGCTGTCGGAAGGACTTACCATGAACTGCGCCACCTCCACCCCCATGAGAACTCCTTCTGCCTAAGCCTCCTTCCTTGCTCTTCGTCCAGGGTCTGTGGGTCAGTTCCTTTACCCATTAGCCCCGCTCTGACCGCTGGGACCCCCGTTCGCCGGGACCAGCAAACCCCAGACAAGTGCCCTAGACAAGCCTTCCCCTGAGGAATGGGAAGGCAAAGGAGGGTAAGTGGACGGATGGAAAGAAGAGGTGTGAGGAATTCTCCTTGGTCCTGCTAGAAAATCAGCCAGAATGACTCAGTGTGCGCGCACAGTTTCATTTACAGGAGTTTCTTGGGTAGTTGTCATAAGACTGAGGGACGGGGTGATGCTGCTGCCCTCTGTCCCATCTGTGAGCCTCTGCCTCGGAGGCCCGGAAAAGGAGGCTGGAATCGCTGTTCTCTCAACTGAGGTCTCAGCTCTTCCCAGGCCCTGGTGGCCTGATCATGTCACCGGACCGAGTGTGATTACAGTGACAGGCTTGTCTAGGGCACTTGTCTGGGGTTTGCTGGTCCCAGCGAACAGGGTTCGCAGCAGTCAGAGCAAGGCTAATGGGTAAAGGAACTGACCTGCAGACCCTGGACGAAGAGCAAGGAAGGAGGCTTAGGCAGAAGGAGTTCTCACGGGGGTGGAGGTGGCGCGCAGTTCATGGTAAGTACAGCAATCTGTTCCAACACTACAGTAAAATGGGCTGTGTTGGACTTTGGGTCATTGTCTGATACAACACCTTCCCAACAGACTTGCAAGGGAATTGTGGCCCTTTTTTCTGATCTTACTTTGCACGCTGACTTGCATCCTACTCCCAGGTACTGTGAGAATGCTCCATTTTGTTCTGCCGGAGAAAGCGTGCACAGGCCCCTGGGAAGACTGTCAGAGCTCCTGATGCCATGCCCCTCCTTTACACCCTTCCTGCTCTTCCTCCCCTGGCCGGCAGTGGAGGGCCAGCTGTCTTGGGGGTGCGCCCAACAGCAGGAGGGTCCCCCCACCTCTGCAGCCATCATGGGCCCAGGATGACAGGCGCCATTGTGGAGGGAGAGAAAAGCCTCCATCTGACGGCTCCCGCTGGCCGTGCCACCCGCTGGTGCTCAGCCAGATGCACCTGTTACATCATAAACACCCTTGGCACCCATTGGCTCATCCCCAGATGGCTATTAAAATCGCAACTTCAGCCACAGGAGCTCCTGCATGGGCACAGGCTCCGGCCAGGCCGTGTCTCTGGCTGGTTTGGTCGGGCAAATCAGTGACCCTCGTTTCTCCTGCAAAATGCCGAGGAGACTGATGGAAGCAGGCAAGTTCCCACCAATGGCCTCCTGCAGGACTGAAGGAACACAGACAGCAGGTGCAGGACGACAACCCCTTTTCTCCACCTCCGCTCAAGCCAAGCCTTCCCGGCAACTTGCAGCTCCTCTTCTCCAACCTGAGGCCAGTACCAGCTCTCAGAGGCTTGTCCCCACAAGCCCTTCCTGCCACCGGAAGCCCCCCACCCCCGAACGCGGCTCTCACACCAAAGGTGACCCGGGAACGGATGGGTACTTCATCCCCGCAGTTTCTGACACGGCGCCACCGTCTTTCAACTTCCCCTACCAACGGGGTCAAGTTGTCGGCCAGCCTGGACTGCCGGCCGTTAGCCTGACACCAGGAGCAGCCTCAAAACAAATTAAATGAGGCAGGGAGGCCGAGTGGTGATCATTCCATTACGGCCCCTCTGCTTCCTCTCCGCACATGACCCACGCCATCCTTTTTAGAAGGTGAGGCGTCTTATTGAATCAGCACTTAATCTACTCGCAGCGCCATGGAGGAGGGGCAAGGGGACAGGTCCCCTGATCCTTTTATTTTTCTGAGGACCTCGCTTGGAGACAGCCTGGGTAGGGGGGAGGATGAATTGTGAGGAACCTTGACCCTGTTTCAGGTGAGCCTCTGATTTACAGTTCATTGTGCTTTCTAACGAATAATTTTTATATAATCATTCCACCAGTAAGCACCAAACCTTCTTCTTGGGAATGCAATTAAGGGAAAAATTAGCAATAAATTGTTTTCAGCACTTAACCCAGTTCCAAATTTATGGTTGCTTGGAATTTATTGTTTCAGAGGCCTGAAAGATGGCGATTAATTTTATCCCGTTTCCTGCCATTCACCCTCAAAACTGAAATGTGCATCAGGACCTGCTTCACGGCCTTGGGTTTTTCTGCTTGTTACAAACCTTGAGACTAGACCCCTCCAGACGGTTACCGCTGAGGGCTCCGGAGCCTTAAAAGCAGAGAAGAAAACACTCCTTTATCTGCAAGCGTCTCCTTTTCTTCTACTGCCACTGCGACTGCGGCTGTGGGGATGTGCTTTACAGAGTGAGCGTAAATGAGAAAACACTCAGTTAGCTTCTGACGGCCAGTGCTGGATGTATCAGTTTGCCCTATAAATAAGCACTGATCACCTCCATTTTATTGAACTCATTTTCCAGGCAAGCAAAGACCACAAGATTCTTCTGCACATTTTCTCTTTACACCCTCTAGTACCGCTGCTAGCGTCAACTCCGACAGATTTATAGCCCATTCATTCATGGGAACAAAAACCCTGCCACGGCTGGTCATGGGACACGCAATAGCAGTTAGTTCAAAAGATAACAGCTGCAATACCTCACCTCCCCATTCAGCACTACAGAGCCGGCACTACTTTGGAGGTAATAAATGCTCCTTGTTTGTGTGCTTTGAGTCATAATCCACAAATAACTGTGGGCGGCTTCGCCCAGGCCCCGCCTCTGGGGGAGCCGCTTTCTTGCAACCCCTCCCCAACCCCAGGCCTTAAATCCAGCCCCCTACAAGAGGGCAGAGAGGGGCTGAAGGCAGAGCCTTGTGTAATCCAAAGGAAGACTTGGTCTCTTCCTTCCGGTTCACCCAACACGGGCTGCGTGTGGCTTGCGTGCTGAGCCTGTGTGGCTCACGCACTCAGGCCAAGCCGAAAAGCCGGGCTTCCTCATGGTGAGTGGCCCTGTGGGGACATGCAGTGACCTTGCAAACTGACGAGAAACAGAGCTGGGAGGTGAGCCCTGTCCCCACCGAAGGAGGCGGCTGGTCTAAGTCCACCACCATCCTCAGAGCTTGGAACACGCCAGGCACAAAGAACACTGCAAGCATGTTCTGAATGAATCAATGGATTTAAAAAAAAAAAAAAAGCAAAAGACCTGGAAAGGAATGAAGAAGGATCTGTTCCAAAGCCTTCTTTTGATAGATAAGGAATCTGAAGCTCAGAGCAGGGAGAGGCTTGGTCAAAACAGCAATATCGTAGTTAAGCATTCTGGCTCATTCTGGCTCATTCCGAAGTCAGCCCCCAGCACTCACAGGCTTCAGTTTACGCCTCTGTAAAAACAGGGCCATTAACTGTGCCTAGCTCAGGGTATTGTTGCTAGGATCAAACACGTGCAGTATATATATTTAAAAACGTGGCACAGTGCTAACCAAGTAGTATGTGTTCTCAAGTAAATTAATTATTTAGTTGGAGAAACAAGACACTCAAGGAACTTTCAGAACGGTCTCTAGAAGACAGGTCACTGGCAGGGAGATAATGCTTTAGGGTCAATGCCTTCAGAAACCCTCCAACACGACACAGACACCTGCCTCTCCCCCCTCGGTGCTCTGTGGCCTGTTCTTCAAAGATGTGTTATTGTTGCTGTTATTTTAATGTTCTTACAGTCAAACAGCAGGAAAAAAAAAAAAAGAATTATTATCCTCGATAATGCAGGGACCCAACAGCCTTCCCCCTGGGCCCCGCCCACCCTGGCCTGTGGGTCACCCTCTCTTGGGGTCCCGGTGGGAGGGGAGATGGGGCGTAGATAGCGCAGGTCCAGGTCGGGCCGGGGAGATGGAAGTGGGTCGAGAGCCTCCAGGCTGAGCAAGGTGCCAGGGAGAGAAGCCAAAGTTAAACTCCCCATGAAAACGCACAGTTCGGCGGGGGGAAAGAGGAGGCTGTGAACATGCACGGAAAATGACACTGGGCATCAGTTGCTATAAGTACATTCTTCGCTAATCAATCAGCTTTTATTGTGACGCCTCTAGCTCAGCTCATAAGGCCAGAAAGCAGCTTCGGCAGCAGTTTAAAATGTTTCCAGTTTAATAATCCCTGCTAATTGAAAGCAGCTCGGAAAGAGGGGGAAGGTTGGGGGGTGGAGGGCACACCCCCGCCGTTTATGGCAACAGAGCTGTTCCTATGGGAAACGAAATAACCTTCGATGCTACAGGGGAAACCTGCTTCCCCATATCCCCAACAACTAATTCCCGCAACTGCCTGCTTTGGCGGTGGGACCTTTTCTTCTTACGTTTTAATTGTGGAACGTTATAGCAGCAGAATTGCTGTGAAACCTGTTTTTATCTCTGGAAAATTAACCACCCCCTGCTGCAAACACTGGATCTTTTTTTTTTTTTCTTCAACAGAGAATTGCATTCATTTTTATAATTGTTCTTTTCCTTTCAAATCACCTAATATGACAAATGCCGGGCAACGGTGTAGTTCATCTGCTAAAGAGTGTCTTTACGAGTGGCGGCTTCAATGCTTTAATGGAGAAATTGCCTGGTTTAAGTAAATCATGTCACCCTCACAATCATATTTGTTGCAGATGTCTGCTGACCTGACCCGCAGAGCAAAAACAAAAACACATCTACATTCCTGGGCTGGAGAGATTTGGTTCAAACGATGTACAAATGGGTCATGATGAAAAGTGATTCTAGCAACTGGCCAAGGTACGATTTAAGTATACTTTTGACAGTTTCTACACATACATAATTATTCAGTGTTGTAATTTAAACAGGTGAAAGACAGATCTTAGCACAATAGCCTCTGTCTTGGTTTCTCCGACTTCCCGGGCAGAGCTACAGTCGCCATTCTTGCAGACCTGCCCTGGAAGGTGGATTCAGACACCCAGATCTGGAGCCTGTGAATCTCTATTTATTTATATTAAGCCTCCCGAGCTATTTTCTAAAAGGCATCACCAGGAAAGAAAGAAAAAAAAGCCTAGAACCCTGAGTTCACTCAAGGAGGAGAATGGATGAAGGAGGTGGTCGTGTGGGGTGGGAGGGTGGAAAGGCGGAGGGAGACCACCCATAGCATGACAATATGACAGCAGGCACAGTCCCCTCTCCCTCCCCCAGGCTTGCCTCAGCGTAGATAATGGTGAGGCGGGGTAGCTAAGACGGCAGTGGCTAGTCACTAAGAAGTGGTCCTCAGGAAAAGCACCTTGAGTCAAAATCTTTCCTTCCTTCTCCTTTGCAGTGTCCCAAAGAATCCTTTGCATTCAGTAGTTGGGTTGGCAGCAGGAGGAAAGGTAGTGCTCATCCCATGCAGAGAGTCTCCTAGCTTGAAGGAGGGAAGGAATTGAGACGAGACTGAACTGTGAGGGAGTGACAGGTGGGCAGACAGCTGGGGAGAAGGAACCAGCACCCAGGAGCCGGTGAGCACACCCTGCATCCTCAGATACACAGCCTGGGCAAACACCTGTGGCCACAGAGGATGGCTCTGCACCGGGACACATAATATGTAAGTAACAATATAAGTTTTAATTTGGGTATCCTTCCTCCTCCCCTGCAGAAAGATTCCAAACACGGAAACTGGAGGGCACTGAACGTCCCAGGTGGTTACGAAGCGTGTTGGTTAGTGAATTAACAAGGCTGCATTCACGGGGGCACAATGTCCGGCGCTGGGAGGTGACCCTCTCGCCCCACGACCATGGGCTGTCTAAACATATTCAGGAATTGTTCCTTTTGGGGAGAAACAGACCAACTGGGGTATGCGTGGGAAGGAGCAAACGGGATGGTGAGAAGGTTATAAGCTGTCATAGCTGAACAACAGAGGAAGAAAACTCCAGGGAAACAGGCTTGCTGTCCACAAATCCCCGAAGTTAACTGCTCTGGAGCCCTTGCTACCTGCCGGATCTGAGCCGAGCCCTTCACACGAGGTCTTCCTCCTGCTCAGAGCATCACCGCCTCGAGGGAGCAGGGCCTTGGCCTTCGTGTAACAGATGAGAAACCAAGACACGGGGAGGGCGCATGGCTCACGCAGGATCATCCGCTCTGGCAGAACGGAGGAGGGATAGGTGCCTGGCACCTGTTCTGATTCCCGGTGTCTGGGGCAGGTGCTACCTCGAGAGGGCAGTTGGGGGTAGCCTGCAGGGGCTCGGGACTGGGAGACGGCATATTTCAGCCCAGCATATATCCTTCTTTTTTGAAGAAGGATAGGAGTCAGAAAGGAGTGGCTGGACACCTGCCTACTGAGGATTTTGTAGAGAACTAAGCTAGGAGTTTCTCTCCAATCCCAGGATTCCGTGTTTAAGGCAAAGTGCCACCTGCCTCCTTCTCCCAATATTACGTCCTGAAATCGCTTAATCGATGTTTTAAAATTTTCCCAAGTGCCCATCAATCCAAGAATGGATCAATAAAATGTGGTATATGTATACCATGGAGTACTATTCAGCTCTAAGAAACAATGGTGATATAGCACATCTTATATTTTCCTGGTTAGAGCTGGAACCCATACTACTAAGTGAAGTATCCCAAGAATGGAAAAACAAGCACCAGATATACTCACCAGCAAACTGGTATTAACTGAGCAGCACCTAAGTGGACACATAGGTACTACAGTAATAGGGTATTGGGCAGGGGGGAGGGGAGAGGGGGGCGGGTATATACATACATAATGAGTGAGATGTGCACCATCTGGGGGATGGTCATGCTGGAGACTCAGACTTGTGGGGGGAGGGGGGGAAAAGGGCATTTATTGAAACCTTAAAATCTGTACCCCCATAATATGCCGAAATAAAAAAATAAAATAAAAAATAAATAAATAAATAATTTTCCAACAGTATCTTTTACATATGTAATAGATAGTGCGCTTCTGGCAATTTCCCCTTCCCATATATTGACACACTCGCTCCATTCATTCATCGGACAAACATTCCTCATTCATTCAAAACAAATATTCTCAAGAGTCTGATACGTACAAGGTGACTTAGGGATACAAGACTCTCTTGGCCTTGATGCTGGGCAGATTTCCTCTATTGCCCCAGTTAAGAGCCATCTTCCCCGAGGTCCAAAGCAGGGGCCCGGGGCACTGGGGCCAAGGCTCCCACAGATCCGGCCTCTGACTGGCCATAATTCTCCCCTGCATCCAACCCTTCCACTTCCTGCTCTCAGAAACACCGATTGTTCCTATCACAGGATAGGGGATCAACAAACATTTGTTGGGTGGATGAATTAAAATGGGGAAAATCTCAAAGAAGTCAATAAATGTGAAGATGTAGGGAAGGTTTTTTCTCTAAGCAAAAGCAATTAACAAATAAATATCACAGGAAGCAGATACTGCTGCAGACCCAGAAGCTGGTCCTTCCTAAACCTGATTCTTTCTACTCAGCAAACCTTTGCAGGGTGGTGCAGGGAGAGGTTCCTCTTGTTTTCCCTCTGCCCTGTCCAGGCCCTGTGGTTCAGAACCCTGGGTCAGAAAAACACAACCATATTCTTTGCTTTCCTCCAAAGTCAACTGGGCCTCCCAGGCGAAACTGCCAGAAACCCAAAAGAGCTTGGCGTTCTTCTTACTGGGCAGCACAGGTTAGCTCCTTCAGTAACAAATTTTTAAAGTCACACATAAATTTACTTGGTAAAATTTTAAGTATTGCCTGAATAAACTATACCTTCATAGTAAACTAAATTTTGTGATAAACTAAAGCAGTCCATCTATTAATATAAGGCACCATAAGATTAGGTGGCAGCAGTGTTTCTTACTCTAAACACGTGTGATTTTTAAATTTATAGCCAATGCCTTTAAAATAGTATCCACACTTCATTCTTGAAATTCCGTCTACCACCACCACGACCCAAGAAAATGTGGGGTTTTGTGTGTGTGTGTGTGTGTGTGTTTCTTTTAATTTAAAAACTTTTGGAATATTTACATTTTACCCTCAGTCAAGGCCACTGATTAGAGAACTATTAATAGATTTCTTTCCTGGCAAAACAGCTTTATTTCTTAGGATAATCGTGCCGGCACCGCCACACCTGTTAGCAGTTAGAGCTCCACTCGCAATCAAGGGGAGAGGTGGGCTGGCCAAGCCGAGAGTCAGAGGGTCCCTAAACTCCGATGCTCTTGGCGTTCACGGCGGAGTCGGTGAAATGGAGACGCAGTGCGCAGTCCCAGCTCCCAGCCAGATGCCCCAGGCCCAAACAGTCTCTTGGAATCCCTCCATCCTATCCCGGCTGGAGAGAAGATGCTGGCTCCAGAAAGCAGTTCACCAATCATGGTGACAGGATTAAGAAGAAGAACACCCGTTTTCATAATGATAAACAGTGTGCGTCCGCACACACGCCCTGGAAAACTCCCATTCCCCTAATCTGTCACCGGATTCTGGGGGGCAGTAAAGCCCCTTCCTTTATCATCACAGCCACCCCAAGGACAGACTTTATGTGACTTGGGCAAGGCGCAATGCTCAGTTAATCATCTGCATCCAGAGCTTTAAGGAGAGTCCCCTGAATCCACCCTGAAAATGCAGCACTGAAAAGGAGCTCTCAGGGATGAGGCAGACAAAAACCTTGTGGTGCCAGAAAGTAACTAAGAATCAAGTACGGGGGGACACAGGGAAAGGCCCCAGAGCCAGATGGAAGAGGCTCCTAATGGCCAAATCTGGGATAATTTAAGCAAGAAAATAAATAATAGTAATGGACTGTAAACCCCCTAGAATAAAATCTGTATCCCTGGCCCATGCTGGTATACATAAATAATTGCATAAATAAATAAATGGGGGAGGAGAAACAGTTGTTTCTGACTATGGAATTTCAATTAATAAGTATGGAAGAAATGATGGGAATAGAAAAGACACCATTAGGCGCACACCACGATAATAAAAACTGCAGGCAAGAATAAGGAATGGATGCTGAAATTAGTGGGCAAAGGTGTGATAAGAAACAAGCTATCTGCATGGTCTCAAAAGGTCTCCCTACAAGATGCTTGTCAATTACAAAGAGAATAACAGTAACTTTACGGCAGAGAACCTGGTAGATGGCTCCTTAGCCAAGTGATCAAACTTAACATCACTTGTAATATAACATATAGACCTCATGTGCCACCCGATAAGATGTAATGAGATATTAAAATGCAAATCTTTTTCCTTTAAAACTTTCTGTTACTTGTAAAACATAATAGGGATAATATGATTACTTGAGTAACAACATAATTTAACAATTAAAAAAATAATTAGTTGGTGTCAACATTGTATATAATACAATAGTACATAATAATACTTTATTAATGATATATTTGAGCATGAGATTTTTCTGGCTTACTTTTCTGCAAATTTCTGCAAGTTCATTTATTAGGTGATCGACATTTATACTTCTAGCAACTTCATTTTCAATTGATAACCATTGAAAGTGATATCAGTCAATTGTGGCAAATTACAAGATTTCCAATAATACTTTATCATTTTTTATTTGAGAATGACCTTCTTGCTGATGCAACTGACACTGGGCTCTTAGCATTTTACAGTCTGTGACAATATCGAGACACATTTCTGATAAACTATTTCAAAATACAAATTTTAATACATCCAGAGCTGATGATTCTCATGGAATAATTTTTCTAAAAAGATTTAACTCTTCATAAGAATTGGCTTTGTGCAAGTTTGGATTTAATTTTCGATGTTAATTTATACAATGGTGCTTTAATATTTCCTCTGACATTTCCTGCAACTTGTCGGGGTCAAAGAAGAAACTGAAAGTGGCTTCATGATTTGTATGTAATTCAAAATGCCCGTTCATGTAGTCTATCACTGTATCGTCAATTACAAGGAAAAAAATTAATGTTAAAATTGACTTTCTCGTTAATAATTGATTCACCCAAAGATTCATATGAAAATAGCACTCTCCTCCATTTGAACATGGAAATCCTTAAATGTAAACCTGTGGATGTTTCTGTACAATGTGGTAGCAGTTTTTTAAGCCAGAGATTCTGAACTGTTTGAAGGTTCTGGTAACTCTCTGATATGCTTTATCACTGTGTCCATATATACACTTTTATTTTGTAATAATTTACTGACCAAGTTTACTGCCTGAGCCCTGGCAGTTCCCATCCTGCTGCTCAGGTAGAAGAGTTCATATCTGTGCACACAGGCTCTGGGACACAGAGGTAAACTGGCCTGCAACCCGAGTCCCAGCACAGTTCCCGTGTGCAGCCCGTCCTGTGCCCACGGCTGTCCGCACCACCACTGCCGTTTCTGCTGCACCGGTGCCACCACCACCGTCAGTCCCAGTCCAGTTCCCGATCCACGCTGCCAGCCAGAGTCTCCGCTGCCCCTGTGCCTGCCCCAACATCCCACCAGACTTGACTCACACAGCTGTGCAGTTCAAAGATAAAATTATCAAAAATTTCTAATTTTTTTTCCCTTTTAGTTGTACAGATTTAGGAGGTACGTGTGCATTTTTGTTACATGCATAGATTGTGTGCGTCAAGCCAGGGCTTTTGGGGTATACATCACCTGAATGACGTTCGTTGTACCC